AATTTAAAAAAAATCTTTTTTAGTTTACCAATATACATCATTGCATACAGAAAACTATTCTGAATAAACCTCTGAGGTTTATTACTATCGACAATTTTGGTAAAAAAAAAAATGTGTGTTTTCTTTATAATGCAACAGTATTTGTAGTTATTCGAATAAATTGTTTTAAACAACTACTGGGAAATTTAAAAATTACATTCTTGAAATACTTTTTTTGTTGGATATTTACATCAGTTTAAAACATACTTTTGACACCCATGCAACTCGTTGAAAGTCGTAAATGTCAGTACTCTATTGATAATAAAAATGAAAACTATATTCGTTAATGTAAAATATAACTCCTAAAAACTAAATTTTCTAGCCACTTTAGAATAAAATCAAACAATCGAACATTACAAATAATACATTTGTATTATTGTAAGACACTATACCTATAAAAAATCTTTATTGACTTTTTATATTATTATTTATGTACAAAACTATAATGTTATAAGTAATAACTTATTACAAAATCACAAAATATCTCGATTTAAATATGATAGGTCATATTCATAGAATCTATTTAAAAACATACACAGAATAAAATCTTTTAGAATAAATGAATTATAATTTAAAATAAATATAAGACCATTGTTTTCTAAAAATAATAGTTTTATTTTTGAAGTAATCGGATACAATATAATTTACAAATAACTTCAAAGTTGAATACCTATTATAAATATAAAAATGATGCAATGGCATTGAAAATGAAAGAGTAACATTTTTTGTAATTATTTATGACGTTTTTAATGTCTACCTGATAACCATTCTAATATGAAATTAATTTTATGAAAATAACCAAAATATTAATGGTGTGTATAATTTACAAAATAAGGGTCTGACAAGTATATCAAAATTGATACTTGTCATTAAATACGTCAAATCGAAAAATAAATCTAGAATAAAACTGTTATTTGTTAATTTTTCTATAAAATTTAATTAAAAATGTAATCTTATATCATATAATACCTATTTAGTGAATTATTATATAATAGTATCAAAAGAAAATTCCAAAATATTATAACCACGTTAAAAAATAATCTAGTACAATTGCCCTTATTCTTCACAAGTTGAACATAAATAGTTCAATTTCTGGAAAAAAAAACAGTATTTAAAACTAATTTCATAAAGTTTAAATTGTATTAATTTGATATTTTATATAACATGAATTTGTTAAGATTATGTTAATGTGTCGATGCAGCAATGATTGTATCATATTATACAAAGAAGTTACATTAAGTTTTATTATTAAGATAAATTAAAATAATAATACAATAACTAACATTAACCTAATGATTAAATATTAATATAAAAATAAATAATACTACATAGTAAATCATTTTATTTTTATATTTGTTATTTATTTAGTGTTGTGTATTATATTGTGATAATTATCTGGAATTTTGAATTATTAATAAGTTATTTATGTCATAATATTATGATAAATTGTATTTATTATGTATAAAAAAAAAATTAATATTAAATAAAATGTGAATGTTATTTTAAATGTATCTATCTACTATAGATATAAGTTACATACAAATAATACTTCTAATAAATACAATCAATTTTGATAACATTTCATCAAATGTAAAAATTATTTTTTTTTTTTTTTTTTAACTTAGAATTAATTGTATTAGGTTTTTTTTTATTAGTATTTTTAATTTTTTTTTTTTTATAAATAAATTATTATAATTATTATTGATTTATAATTCAAAAAAGATAGTAAATAATAATGTACCTCACATTATATCAAACTTGCATAAGCCAACATAATAATGTTAACACCACACTAAAATGATTTCATATACTACTTTTTTATTTGTATGGTTAAAAAAAAAAAGAAAAAAAAAAGTATTATTTAATATCTGTAAAGACAAGACCTAAGAATTTAATATTTAAATTTTTCTTTTTAAATTGTTATAATAATTAATTACTGAAACCATACTTTGAATATAACTTGTTTACAATACATACTCAGGACAAATAGTATAATTATGTATGCATATCAAGGGATGGAATTCCGAGAATAAATAGAACAAGTAAAACATGTTCAAAGCACATTATTGTCAACAACCCTTGTCGAATTGGATATTACTCAAATAAATCGAATGACATTTTAAATTACATTAAAAACGAAATATATTATTAAGTATTTGGCTTACTAGAAATTCTTACTCTTTTTTTTATACCTATACACAATGCAATATAACCGTTTTCCAATCACAGCCTTTTTAATGCTGTTTCTTAGATATTCATTATTTATTATTTTTCTTTATTATTACAATTTTATTTTCAACCATAGAGTATCAAATTGGAAAAATAAACAACAGTAATGTACAAGTAATCATTCAAATGCTACAAATTTTAATTTATAAGAAGAATAACAATATACATTTTATTTTTTAAATTAATTTTTTGCATTAAATATAATATACAAAAAAATATAAACTCAATATTATTACAAGTACAAAATCACTACAAATCTACATTACAATAAACATTTAGTTATTTTTGAATATCCTGAAATATTATATTGAAGTTATAATTATTATTAAAATTGAGGTACGAAAATGTATTATCATATTTCACTTGAATAAACAATTTATCTGATTAACTATAAAATAACACTACTTTTTAAGTATTGAGTCAAATTTTAAACTTTTATAATTTAACTTATACCAATTTGCATTAAAATTTATTAGTTTCGAAATTATCCTGTATTTTACTGGTGGTAATATTTAATTATTGTAGGTACCTATTATTAATCATAATTATATACTATTAGTATTTTCATAATTAAATTATTCTAACTAAATCAAAATCCAAAAACTTATTTTGTTGGTTGAATAAAAATAATTACATCTTATTTTTAATTAGAGGTTTATATTTAATATTTAAGTTGATAAAAATATTCATTATAATTTAATTAAAAGGATTTAATAATAGTTATTTGTAATTTCATTAAATTAAAAAGATTTTCAACAAAATGTATATACATTTTCGTATACTTTTCAAAAAATGTATTAATTACATTAATTATTTTACTACTCAAAGTGTAAGGTTTGATAAGGTATAGCTGTAAATGAATCATTCAAAGGAAACATTATTATCAAACAATATTTTTATTGCCAAATTAAAAAAAAAATAGAAATGGAAGACTGGAATACTAAATGTAATAATTTATCATATAAATTATGTCTTTAAAATATTAAAATAAATTAACGGTAAAAACACTGAATCTTAAATATTAATATTGAGCTGTAACAATATGAAAACAGTTTAAAAAAAAAATAATACTGTGATCACCTCAGTACGTATAAATAGATAGTCTGCATAAAATTAATATTGTTTAAATTGTAATATTTTATTTTGTTTTAATATTATAAATAAATCGGAGGTACTGAAAAGATATCTTTACTCTATTTATATACAAATATTATGTGTTTGAACTCGTTAAAAAAAAATTTGATAACATTAGAAGTTTCTGGGTAATTTTTTAAATAACAGTTAAAATATATATGCGTGTGCCAATATAGTTTATAAACTCCATTCTTATAATTATTATACATGCCAACTGCATCGATTGTAATTTGTTAAACAGGTCATATATTATACATTTAAAGTTTCTCTAGGGGTTTTTGGTTTGTTTTTAATTATCTTCAAATGTGCTAACAAGTACCTAAGCGTATCGCCGATATTAACAACATCAATACACTACTTTTTATTTATTATATCTTGTGTCGTTATGATACGCATTAATCAGCACTTAAACGTCTAGATTAATAGCGTCAATAGCGTTAATAGCGCCGTCACGTCGACTGACCTAAGAGACGATACGTTGTGTATTTCTATAGAACGAAATAAAACGCGTACGGACAAAAAATAGGTAGAATAAAAAAAAAAAAACGAACATAAAAAAAATGTCCAACGATTGTAACTCTGATGTAAATTCAACGTCACAACATGGTACCCTTATTCCATTCGCTTATCTCGTTGGCGTCGCCCCTCAGCAATTTGCTCGACGAATTTCCCACTCCATCCCCGATTGTGCATTTTACCTATATCAACCCTCACGACTACCACCGTATAAAATGCCATCTGTTCCTAAAACATAAATGTTAAGCTTCAATGTTTTCTCCAGTGGTAATGATTTTTTATACAATATATAACATAATACAGCGTAATGGTTCCCATTTGATATGTCACAAAATTCGATCCATCTGTTAAAAAGGAAGTTCGTTTCCATTTTTTTCCATGTAATAAATACATAATTTTAATACATTTCGATTTTTATACAATACACCCGTCATTTTTAATGTTGATTTACTACATGTCACCTAAAAGAATATTCTTGAACCATAAAATATTATATTTTTTTTTGACACGTTAGTATAACATTACCCTTAATTTATTATTAAAAGTAATATAAATTTAAAAATTATTTTAAATACACGCTTTTGAGAGTTAATGGGCATTAATGAAGTTGAGAATGAAAAAAAAAATTAAAAAAATTGATCATGACTCATAAGTTATAATTTTAATTATTTTAATATTAAAACTTTGTAAGCTCAATATCCACAAACTTTTTCATTTGTTAATTAATGTAAACAATTATTTTTAGCCAGGTTGCCAAACATGTTTCGAAATTAAAATTGATAAAATCGATTTTGATTAAACTATAACTTTCACTATTGTAAAAGTATTAAAAAAACGTTGAAAATATTTGAAGCATATTAAATTCATACAACAAAGATTGATCATATTATTATAATTTATAATTAAGATTACAATTTTTATGAATCAAACAAAAATATGAAAATATTTCCAAAAATCAATCAGTTAAAAAAAATGTATTATCCATTTAAAATATAAAATGTACATTTTTTAACTGTGGTTATTTACTTAAATAAACATCATATTGGTATATTTTAATAAAATAGTTAATTTTTTTATTTTAGATTCTGAACAGAGCGACGAATGTGGTAATTTTACGAAATGTGTTTATTTTTTTGCACTTATGTAAGTACACGTTTCAAAGTATAAAATTATTTCAATTGTTAAATTTAAAGGTGGTTTCTGATAGAAAATGTATATTAGTTGGTACTTTGAGAAATCATTAGTAAAATTTCCCATTACTTTTAAAAGTAATAAAGAAAATAAAACAAATAAAAATAAAGAAAGACGGGAATATTACAGATGTTTTTCATATTTGGTCTTAATTAAAAAATTAATAATCATAGATACTTAACATTTTAATTAAATGTTTACATTATTTTTTTTTTATATATATATGCTATGCATAGTATAATTAAAAAAAAAAAATCTTTCTGAGATTTGTATATACATTTGAATTTTAAATGTTAAAAAAATATAATGTTTAATCTAAGATTAACTACTTTTTATTTAGTTGCAATTCTAAATTATTCACGAGTACTTGGAATAATTACATATATATACATTTACTATACACAACTTTTCGCAATGACATTTTAAAAATAACAAGATTAATTGTAAGCTGTTGCTAATATAGTTACATAATAATCTATACTGATGTATATTAGAATACTAGCATTAATAAAATAAATTACCATTAAAGTTTATGGAAATAGAAATACATGAATATAAAAAATTTAGTAATATGCGCGACACATCGTTTTCGTAGAATTAATCAATGATTAATCATTGAATTAAGATTGAACACATATCGTGTACAGAGTTCTACGTCATTGCCACTTACACCGAACCGATTTAAAATTTGTTCTGTGATTTACATGAGGAAATAAGAAAAATAAAAAAAATAAGTAAGACCGTTAATCTTAGAATAATATATTTTAGTACAGTCTAAAATCAGTGGTTAAACTCATAGATGACCTATCTTTATTTAAGTTTTAAATACGATTAAGTTAGACTAGTATTTTAAATGATTAAAGTGAACTATATCATCGGATATTTTTATGTAGCGCACATAGTTTGTATTAATATAATATTATTTACACAACCCTCCCCCCGAAAGAATATCCGCAGAAAAAACCCACGAAAAAAATTCATCAAGGAAAAAAGCCCATAGAAATACCAGCAACAAGAACAAAAAAAAAAAAATTAAATATATGAGCTATACGTTTCAGTTGTATTCTTATGTGTTTCTTTTTCTTTTTATTATCCAACTATTGATAAGAATTTTGACATTTAAATTAATTTAAATTGTTGAGTACTAACAACAGAAATTAAGTAGACTATATATACTTTATCCGTTCAAATGAGTATTTATCTGTACTTATAAATATTTAATACTCCATTAATGTACGCTTAGTTGTCGAGATAGTACCTAACCTACGTTATAGTAAATTTGAAGTAATTTTTTTTTCACATACTATGGAGATTATTAAACCAAAAAAGTTTAAGAAAAATTATATAACAATGGTTATTTGTACATTGCAAAATATATTGGTAAATTCAAAGTAACTTTGAGATGTTTAAAGAGGTCCGTGATGAAATGTCTGGGAGAATTATACACCGATCTTAAAAATAAAACCTTAATTAAAATTCAATCATAACCACTTAAGAGATAATGACAGTATTATAATTGTTAAATTGTTGATTATTTTATTATTTTACGAACTATCAAAAATTGACTGACAAGTGTGGAGTGACAAATCGATTAGGTATATTAATATTAATTATTATTATTATAATTATTATCTTTTTATCTATATTATTATGATGTATGAGTTATAATTATTATATTATTATAGTACTTAATTTAATCAACAAAATATTAAATAAAACAATTATATAACACTCGTATAGAGTTTTATTTCCGTGGGTGTTTTTTCCGGGTTGTTTTTATTTTTTTGTGTGTTTTTCCGGGTTGTGTTTATTAGTTTGGGTATTTTTTCTATGGTCATGTTTTTCATCTACCATTATTTATTTAAAATGGAATCTTTATTAGCATGATAATATAATTTGACTAATTAAAATTATCAATTACCTGCGATACGATGGGCTGAAGTTTTTAACTATAAACTTATTACTCGAAAAGATATAAAATGTTTTGGGTTCTATTATAATCCTCGACAACAAAAACAGTTATATATAAATGTATATTGTATAACAATGAATATCTGTGATTGAAAACGTTGATTGAATTCAATTCGAGTACAAAAAATAAATAAAATCAGAAAATAGAAACTCGATCCCCTTGTGTTCAATCATTTACCGACAAGTCGTCGTCAATACGACATTATTCTGAATGAAATTGTAGTAAAGAAAAAAAATCACTCGTTGAATTTTTAAAGTTTTCCACCGTTTGCTTTCGATTATTATATCGAAAGATATATCTAGCAGTCTGGTAACTGTCAAATGTAATTTTCCGATTTCCCGTCGACTCAAAATCTCTTCAGATAATTGTTTTCAAAACAAACTAACCAGGCTGTCCCCGGGGCAACGCGATCTATTAAATGATCCTTCCACCGGTCAATATTCCGATATTGTGTATTACAAACGCATATGATGTGAGGCGGTGAGCAACGCGCGAGATTTTGGCGTCGGCTCATTGTCGTGCCTGAAAAATAGACGTTCCACAACATTCGGTTCCGACAGATAATGAAGTAACTTTTGTCACGAAATCCATTCAAGATTCTATACAATGCACTGCATGTATATTTATTGTATAGTATGTTCAATTCCGGTCACTTATATACTAACCGAGATCAGGTCAAACAAACGGTTATTATGAGCCTGCAGTGGAAACTTTAATTATTTTTTGTTTTTAAATTGAAACATTAGGGTGCGTCGGGTAAACATTTTATTTTTCTTCCACATTTCACTCATGTGTGAATCTATAATGATAACAAGACGTAATTATTTAATCAATGTGTTTTTATTTTTATTTTTAAATACGTAAATAATTGGAAATCATTGCAGAAAAATATAATATAATATGTATTTAAGTAATTAAATAATTACGATAAATAACGATTAGATGAGTGTAGCAGTTTAATGCCAAAATTTAAAATACGTTTAGTATTGACTAATGGTAATGATAAGAAAAAAATAAGTAAATAGTATAAATAGTTATTTGAAAAAATTTCAAAATAATTTCAAATCATTTGAATATAATATGAGTATATGTATTCAAAAAAAAAAAAAGTATATATATATATGTGTGTGTGTGTGTACAGATAAAAAATAGCTGTTTATTGTTATATTCTGTTTATATATTATATGATAAAAGAATCACTCTGTATATTATCATATATACCTACCTCATTTTGCTACACACGTTTCCATAGAAGTTGAATTTTCTTTCGATATAATAACTGTACTGACTACTGATAAAAAAAAAAGGTTTCCCGACGACTTCACACCTTGTCAACGTAACGTTATGCATTATCATAACCTCTTATATAGTTCTATTTAACTCAAAATGATTGAACATTTTGTAAATATTGGAATTCAAATAATATATTATGTATTTATGTCATGCCATAAACTTATATAATATCATATCAACGTTTGTTGATTTAATATCGAAAAAACTATCACATATTATCTTCTAGTCTAGAATCATTAGTCTTATTAAGTAATGCTTATTTTTAGTTACATTATAAATTATGATACATTTCAATTGGACATTATTAATTTATATTTACTGTATAACGCATCAGATTATATTATAATATAATTAGTATATTGGGAGATATTAAATGATTTTTTTTTTTTTTTTTTTGTCATAATGGGCCTGGAACGCTATTTTAATCTATTTAATCTATTTTAGTATTTTTTTTTTCTGAAAGTAATTATATAACCTTGAAATGCTAAATCAAGGTTAAATTAAATGTGTAAGATATTATAATTATTATATACGAATAAAACTGCTACAGTGTCAAAAGTGTATTTGTTAGTCTTATAACAAATATTTATTTTTTTTATATTAACCGGGTTAATAATAAACTGAGTATGGACTGTTATAAATAAATTTATGACCGTCTTATAATTTCTAAATAGTAATTTATAATTGTACAAAAAAAAAAAAATATTTACAATAAATTTAAAATATTACCTACTTTCATATTTTAAATCCTAATTCAAATCAAACACAATCTATGATGATCTATCATTATGTAAAGAAGATTTATTTATGAATCCTATTTTATATGATATATATTTTATATTTAGCGAGCATAAAAAAACACCATAACCATAGTGTGTTTGAAATAATAATAATATTAAAAAAAAAAAACAATTTTAATAAAAATGCATTGTAATTAAAATAAAATTGAAGTATTTATTATTATCATATATTATAAGTAATGATGTGATTTTGTATTTTTAGAAGTATATTTTATTCATGTTTTAGCTTTAAATCGTAAAACGTTCACTTAACTGAGGATTACAACAGTAAACAAACCTTGACTCCTGTTTAGTGTACATAATTAATTGTGTTAGGCTAAACTTTTTGTTTTGTTTTACAATAAACCGTTAAGGATAAATATAATTATTATGATATGCATTATGTTTGAAAAATAAAATACAATACATGAATAAATAACTATAGCATTATCAAAGATCAAACAATTAAAAAAAAAAAATAAAGAAGATTTAAACATATATTCGTATTGTTGCCTGTTGGGGCACTATTGAGGCGTTTTAAAAAATATACATTCATTGTTAGCTATACTTTTGATACTGCAGGTATTTGTACTCAAAATACAAAATTTTCAAGCATAATAAATTATGATTTACATCTGCTTAATATCGTTCAAGATTAAAATATTATTATACTTCAGTGGTTAATGATACACGAAAAGACTGTGTATCAGCAAAACGGTCGATCTTAAAGAATTTTTTTTATTATTTATTTTTTACATTTTATACAATCTTTATTTACATAACAATAATTTATTTTCAATAAGAAATAATGGAAAGTAAATTCCAAGAAAAAGTAATAATGTATACTAAAATATATTTTGATTATTATGATATATATATAATGTAGTATTACCAGTTACCTATATAATT